TCGCCGTAATTCAAACTAAGCCACTCGATGTTCATCGCAATGATTAGAATTGGACTACATGCAGCCTCTATATGGCTAAAGGATACAAAAGCGGTCAAGGGTAGAAGTCAAAATTGATACAAAAGATTTCCTTAACTGGATACATGATTATGACGGTGATTGTCGAGATGAACACAACTCATGGGCAAATCGAAGCGCCACCGTGCTAAACAGCCAAAGAGGATCACATAACATTATAACAAGCAAAGTATAATTACATGGGCACTTGTGTAGTATGCCAGAACAACCTTAATCGTGCACATAAACCATAAGCCCTCCTCTTTCAACTTTGAAATTGAATGTCAGATAATGAAAAATCCAAAGGGAAAATCCCGTTCTTCCTACACATACACCAAGAAAACAGAAATTGAGAAGAAGAGAGAGGGAAATAGACATACGGACAGTAGGATTTGGAGAAGATGGCGATTTTGCTGGAGTAGATGACATTATGAACGAAGGCAGGAACAGAATTAGAGGATTCGACTACCACAGGTTGCTGGGCAACCAACAGCGACAAAATCACCAATATCACAAAGGGAAGCCCTAGCCTCATCGTCATCGTCCCCCCCATACTTTCTTACAATCAGGGATGCCAACCCTCGAAGCGAAGCCACAACCCCGATTTCCACCTTTCCGGTCTTCGCCCCTTATGAGCTAAACAATCAGGCCTAACTGAACAATGTACTCAGCCACTATGATGAATTGTGCACTGTGGAGGGTTCTATGTAGGATTTTAGCCTAATTGTCATATGGAAAAACTAATTATTATGTGGAAGAATGAGGAAAAAAAATACCCCAATAAATATTTTATTGATGAAAACAACCTAACAAATATTTATACACAAAAAATACAGGCATTTTGTAAATATTTACTCATGAGGATTTTATCTATTTTAGCATAACCTTTTTTATAGGAACTTTTCCCCCCTAATTTTTCTTTATATTTTCCAGAGAAAAACAATTTATTTCTATGCTTTACATTCTTTTAATTTTTAATAGGTTATCATACTTAAAATTTTTTTCAAATCAATCTCAATAGTATATTGACGTCGATAAGTTGTAAAAATTTAATTGTTTCAGTCTTCTTCCTAATGACATGGCCTCATAATGTTAACGTAAAGGGCAAAGTGCTGGTAATACAATTTAAACTATCCAAAACTCATATGGATTTAGGTTTAGAAATTTTAATATACAATTTTTTCAATGACAAATTTATTTTTTTAAAGATATGCTAGTTATAATATTATATTGATTTTAAATCCTTTATCTATTAAAATAAAAAGTTGATTAAAATATATAAAAAATTAAAATTAAATCTGAATCATCTAAAATTGATCTGAATGCTCTAAATTTCGATGATCACTTCATGCTTATTATTGTGATAAGTGCTAAGAATAAATGATTATTAGACGAAATAGGGAAACTAAACAAATAATTTTTTTTTATCAATTCATCATATTTAGCAATAATTTTTATTTATTGTAATATATAATTTTTAATGACAATGAGAGAATTTGCATCCAATCAACAAAGGACACTAGATAGTGCGAGCCCCTGTTGCTCGGGCTTTTTCATTCAATCAACTCTCCCTATATATAATACACTTTGCTTGTAATTGGTTAAACTTCCTAAAATATTTTTTAATTATTTATATTAAAAATATTCTTAATGAAAATCCCATAATACATGCAATTAAGAAGAGGGTTTGAAAAAAAAAATTATAAACATGAGAGCAAAAATGGAGCCAAGTTTTATAATCAACGCATAAATTAGTGTCAATAGTAAATACTTTTCCGATCCTAAATATAAAATCTTTATACACACTAATATAAAGATCTTATATTTAGGATTGGAGAAGTACTAGACAACAAACCATTTTATTTATTACTTTTTGGAGATTTATGTTTTGTAAACAGCTGGAAATATAATAATGAAAAGAAATTTACCTGTAAGTATCTATTTAAAAGATTACCGCCGAATTCGAGTAAAACGGGAGGAGGCAGCACGGTAAAGCACCTAACGATAAGAAATTCAGGTCATCAATTCCCCTCTTCTTTATTGCCACTTCTGGGCTTGTTTTCTCAGGAGGGAAATGGAGAGGGCAATTTGACCTTTTACAAAGACAAGGTTCATTTTTGTTTCGGAAGTTATCATTACTGGGTTGTGAGTATTTAAAAGTTTTATTTGGAATAATATTGATCCAAAAGTTATCAAAGCATAGTGATACTTAGGGGTGTTCATGGAACCCAGTGACCCGCTATGCCCGTCCAAGCCCGTAAGAAAATGCCCAGCCCGTCCTAAAAAAAATGGCCCAAAAGATATATTATATTGGACATGTTCGGGCTGGGTAAGTTGTCGGGCAGGGCTGGGCATCAGGCACGATATGCTGCCCTGCCCATTTGGCCCTACCCGCAAAAATATATATAATTTTATTTATATATATTTTATTTGTCTCATATTTATCTCCTGAATCAAACACATTGTTGTATCAATATTCAATATTCATCATACTTATTTATTTTCAAATGATTTTTTTTGATAACTATTTTCAAATGATTTTGAGAGTAAATGTGTTATCATTTACTGCAATTTGTATAACTATTTTCTTTTTTAGTACAAACATTATGACCATTAGCAATTTATATAATTGATCCATGCTCTTATGAGTATTTGGGAGTTATGGAAAAAAATATTTACATTTGGTGGAGAAATTTTAGAAATTAGAAAAGCAATTAAGTTTAATAAAGTATACTAACAACATTTTTGTTTGTCATAATTTACTCCTCTTAGCTACTATAAAATGTTGTTTCATAATATATTAATTAGAAATAACTAAATTAAGGTCATGTTGCTATTTTAATATAAAGTTACATTAGATTATCTAGAGGAACATAAATAACTAGTTAAGTAATATAGTATATTGATTTATTAGACATGGAAGCCCGCCCTGCCCAGTCCGCATTTGCCCAGCCCGAACTTACTAGGGCTTTTCATGGGCAGGACGGGGCAATGAGCTGTATTTTCAAGCCCGTTTATTTTTCGGGTTGGACATCGAGCAAGGATCCTGCCCAGTCTAGCCCTACCCATGTGCAGCGCTAGTGATACTCTCCTCATCGTTACTCAAAGTTAACTTTCACTGATAAAGTCACGTGGCACTCCCACATGGCACTCAATATGCCGCCTCACCGTCCAACTCATGCTTGGGTTCTGTCTACCTCATCTTTCTTCTTTATTTGGCCATCTTCCTCCGCCATTTTTATTGAAGAACAAAGAAAGGAAACAAAGCAAAACATGCTAACAAAATAGGGGAGAGATGGAAGGAAGAGAGGCTTGATTTTCTCTCAAACTTCTTAACCCCAAGTCCATCATTATACTTGCATTCCAAACTCCATCGTGCTTGCCATTCTTTGTTCTCCATTCTTGCAAGGCAACATCCATTGAGGAAAGATTTCCCTTCCCCCTCTCAAATCATTCATCACTAGCAACAAAACAGGTCAAATAAATTTAACTCAGATGGAGATTAATGAATTGAGTTCAACATGTTCAAAAAATAACCAAAAAAATCAGATCAAATCGCAACCCAGGTATATATGACTTTCAAACAATAATTTCAACCACGGATCTCGACTCAAATCCGGTTCACCGGCGAGAGAGGAGAAGAAGGTTGTCACTGGCAGGAGTGGAGAAGATAAGGACCGATCGATCTTGATCTTGCCATGTCTTTTCTTTGATTTTGACGAACCTTTTTTAGAATCTTTCATGTTCCTTGAAAGATAAGAAAAATACGCTAACCCAATCTTAAAAAAAATGGATGAAAACTTGACGATCTAGAGAAGAAGATTTGAGATCGAACAGGATGGCCTTGGCCGCTAGTGTTAAGCTCGAAGGAGATCGTCGTTGCTGCTGGTGGTGAGTTTGAAGGAGATGGTCGTCACCGCTGGCAGTGAGTTTAAAGAAGACGGCCACTGCTAGTGATACTCTGACAGATTTGAAACTCCACGATCTTGACAATGATGATGTTAAGGGACAATAACCATTGACACTTCTGAAGGAAAGGAAGACGAATGATGGAGCTAATGCCATGTCGAGGGAGAAGGGAGAGTGATGGGGTGAAAATAGAATGATTGGGAGAGTGAGAGGATGGATGAGATGGTGGGATTGGAGTGTCTGGGTGCTTGGTTGCAGCTTCAAAAGAGTCTGTCAATGGTGGGCGGAATTTTGAAGGCCGACGACAAACGTGGGAGTGAGGAGGGGAGAGGAAGGGGAAGATGATGAAGTGTGACGATGAGATGACAATGAGGCGGCATACTGAGTATCATGTGGGAGTGCCACGTAGTTTTAACAGTAAAAGTTAACTTTTTTTTTTTTTGACCAAGAACAGTAAAAGTTAACTTTGGGTGAGTGTGAGGTGACATTTTTATGTTTAGAATGTATCATAACATTGTTCCAAATAAAACTTCTAATTACTCACAACTTTTTAGCGACAATTTTTTAAAATAAAAATGAACCTTGTCCAGTTTCTAAAAATAATTTTTTGAATTCAAAAAGTCAATTTGTAATTTTATATTCAATATAAGACCTAATTATTGAATTGGTTTTGATCCTAAATATAATTATCGATTTTTCATATTTATTAATTTTTTCTAAATTATCCTTATAGATATTCCCTCAACCATAATCAAGTAGAAGAGGAAGAAAGGATATTAAAAAAGATGATTATAGTATTTTAAAAAAATATGTCACATTTTTTATAATTAACTAACTTACTTAATTTTTTTAATCTAATTAAATTAATTAAATAAATTTTATATTAAAGGTTATAGGAGTATTTTTCAAAGTCTTATTTTTCATTTTCTCTGTACATATTGACCCACGCGGTACGCGGAGGTGGCTGGCTTGTGCTTGGAGGTGGGCAGAGCTGGCTTTTGTTTTTGTTTTTCTCCGCAAAACGCCAGTTTACTTGAAGCTGTTTATTTGGTCAAACACCAACGAGGACAAGAAATCTGATCAATTGCATTGCAAGACCACAAGAGAAGGGAGGAAGCTTCTTGCTTCCAGTCTGGAAGGTCCCTGTTCACATCATCAGATCAATCTCCTCCGTTTTCGAAACAGCTGTCCTCAGCCTCCGGTACTCTCAGGAGGAGGGACGGCCGAGATGGCTGAGGTTGCTGTATCAATAGTTGTTGAAAAGCTTTCAGAACTTCTAGTCGAACAAGCAGTGGGCGCAGTGGGCGTAGTTTCTGTACTTGATGGTTTGCGCAACGACGTAGAGAGGCTGAAGAATGAGTTACGATGGATGCAATGCTTTCTGAGGGATGCCGATGCTAAACAAGAAGAAAACCAGCTGGTCCGCTTGTGGGTTTCCGATATTAGAGATGTTGCTTTTGAAGCTGAGGAGCTAATAGAGATTTATGTTTACAAGGTAGCGTGTCAAAGCAGATGGTACAGAGTCTTTAGATCCTTACATCTCTACGAGGTCTCCAGAAAAATCGAGAAAATTCGAACTAGGATACATGATGTATCTACAAAGCGGGAAACCTACGGCGTTGTCAGAGAAACACAGGGGAAAATTATTACCAATGACCGGTTGAGGTACTGGAGACAGCCATGGCCCTATACTGAAGAGGAGTGTGTAATTGAGCTTGAAGATGACATGGAATTGCTGGTCAATCAACTGCTTACAGTGGACGCTGGGCGGGTGGTCTCTATAGTTGGTATGGGGGGTTTGGGCAAAACCACCTTAGCTAAGAAACTGTATAATCACAGCAAAATTCATAACCATTTTGATTGCAGAGCTTGGGTTTATGTGTCCAAAGAATACAGAAGAAGAGACATTTTGCTAGGAATTCTCAAGGATGCAGATGCTCGCGGTAGAAATGAGGTTGACGGACGGGAGAGATGGCGGGAGGAAGACATGGTGACCCGCCTGCATACTATCTTGGACGAGAAAAGGTATTTGGTAGTTCTTGATGATATTTGGAGCACGGAGGTTTGGGATAGCCTAGAATCTGCATTTCCCAGAGGGAAGATGGGTAGTAAAATTCTGCTCACAACTAGAGACATGAGAATAGGTAAGCACGCCGGTGGCGGCGGTAACCCTCATAAACTACGAACGCTGACTGAAGATGAGAGTTTGAGATTGCTGTGCCACAAAGCATTCCCCGGAATGAATAGCATCCCCCCGGAGTTGGAGAATCTTGCAAGGGATGTCGTAGTGAAATGTGGTGGTTTGCCTCTGGCTGTGGTGGTGGTTGGCGGTTTATTATCAAGAAAACTTCAATCAAACGAGGAATGGATGCGAGTGGCCAAAAATATCAGTTGGCATCTGCTAAATGAGCAAGACAGAATCCGATATATTTTGGCCCTGAGCTACAATGACTTGCCTTCTCACTTGAAATCATGCTTTCTCTACCTAGGTCTTTTCCCAGTCGGCATGAACATTCAGACGAAAAGGTTGATTCGCCTGTGGGTCGCAGAAGGTTTTTTACCGCAAGAAGGGGCAGAAACAGCAGAAGGTGTTGCTGAGAACTGCCTAAACGAGTTGATTGGTAGGTGCATGGTTCAAGTGGGCTCAGTAAGTTCGTTAGGCAAAGTTAAGACAATTCGCATCCATGATCTTCTCAGAGATATTTCCGTCTCCAAAGGGGAAGAGGAATATTTTCTCCGCATATATCTTGGGAGCCTGGAAAGTTCATCGGCATCTCAGCTAAATAGATCCCGCCGCCATGCCATACATTCTTGCTATGACCGTTATGACTTCTTGAAACACGATGCTTGTCATTCACGTTCCCTCCTCTTCTTCAATAGAGAATATAATGCAGATATAGTGAAGAAAATCAGGTTCTATGACCAGCAGTACAATATGAATTTCCTGCTAGAAAAGAAACTGAATTTAATTTTTAGCAAATTCAAGCTTCTCAGGGTTTTAGAGTTAGACGGTGTTCGGGCTGTTCGTCTGCCGAATACAATAGGGGACCTTATTCAATTAAGGTATCTTGGACTGAGGAAGACTAATTTGGAAGAGGAACTTCCACCTTCCATTGGAAACTTGCTGAACCTACAGACGCTTGATTTAAGGTACTGTTGTTTTCTGAAGAAGATACCAAATGTGATTTGGAAGATGATTAGTTTGAGGCATTTGCTTCTGTACACTCCATTTGATTCTCCAGATAGCCGTCATCTAAGATTGGATACATTAACCAATTTACAAAGCCTGCCGTACATTGAGGCTGGACACTGGATAGAAGATGGGGGTCTAGAAAACATGAAAAGTCTCAGGCAATTGGGAATATATGAATTATCCGGAAAAGTGGTGAGGTCAGTGCTTTCTATTGCACAAGGATTACCTCACCTTCACTCACTGTCTCTATCACTTCAATCAGAAGAAGATGAATTTCCAATTTTGATGCAGCTTTCTCAGTGCACTCATCTCCGCAAGCTCTCTTTGAATGGGAGGATCAAGAAGCTACCTGACCCTCATGAATTCCCGCCAAATCTTATCAAACTAACTCTGCATAACTCCCATTTACAGATGGAATCCATTGCCAAACTTGAGAGGCTGCCAAAACTGAAAATGCTTGTTTTAGGGAAAGCGGCGTACAACAGGAGGGAATTGATCTTCTCTGCTGATGGATTTTCACAATTGCGAATTCTAAGGCTTAATGTTCTGAAAGAATTGGAGGAGTGGACAGTTGAGGAAAGGGCAATACCAAGACTCGAGCATGTCATTATTAATCGCTGTGAGAAGCTGAAGAAGATCCCAGAAGGACTGAAGGCTCTCTCTTCTCTCAAGGAAATAAAGATTATAGGAATGCCAGTAGAATTTGAACAGAGACTACGAACTAAAGACTTGCTGGAATTCCAAAATATCCCTTCAATTGAATCAACTACAGACATTTTGGCAAATGGTAAGCTAAATATTCATCACTGATTTTTTTATTTCAGACTGACTCCAGAAAAGAAAGGGAGGTTATAAACAACTGCATATTGTGCTGCAGATTTCAACGGCGGGCACAATGTTGGTCGTTGAGAAACCTTTCACCTTGGTAGAGGAAGCATGTCCTAGTTGTGGTTTTTTCTCTTTCATTGAACAGCATGTGCTTCATTTTTCTTGTTGACCATTTGCATAATTGCTGAGATTGATCGTTTCGCTGGCAAGTTTTCCTCGTCTCTTCTATTTTTTTGGACTCTTGAATCCAATTTTTAGTACTTCCGGCAACGGTCGCATGACTCGAACACAAAGGTACAGGGAGTTGGCCAGAAAAATATCTTACAGCGAAAGCTCAGAGTTTATTGTAACATTCACAAAAATTTCTATCTATACACACTGTAAAGGCTGTGACTTGAAAAAATAGATTACAACATGAAGCTGAACAAGATTCTATTTACTTAACTGCAATTCTGTATATTCTGGTTTACTTCTTGTTATATCTGCATTTTGAACTCCAGCCCCCAACACCACACCAAACGGTTCACCCACGAGATTAGCGGAGAGTAAACTTGATACATGACTCTCTGTCATCATGATGCAATCGGGAGTTTGCGGAAGCTTTTATGTGTTTACCAAGGTTAAAAGTTCGAGTATCTATGTCTTTTATGTTATTGCTTTTTAAAATCTTAAATAGAGAACCTTCAAGTTCAACATTTGATAATGAAACAATTTCGGAATTTGAAATTTATGTTGCGCGTAACTTGCCAGGACAAAATCCCACTGGCATCACACTTGATGTTAAAGGTAGAAACTGAAAGTAGCTCTTAGATTCGCAATCATAAGTTCCTTTCCTACATAACATGTGACTTGCAGTGGCTTGGACCAGGTTAGTGTATTCGACCAACACAGTTAGAACTCCTTCAAATTGTCCTTGGACACCGCATTTAAAGGTCCTCGTCAGTTTGTTTAGTTAATTTTCACACATACAAACACAATATTGTCCAACGAACCAATTACATTTCAGCCCCATTTTTGTAGTTGTTATTATTTTATAGACATTGTCACAATTAAAGAAATTCAGTTAATGGGCTTACTTGTCATTAATTATTATGCACTTCCTATAATTCAAGAACAGGATCTTCTTGAATTATAGGATCTTCTTACCGATAGGGATTGGGTCTAACGGAAGGGGTTAATCTCTCACAACGTGATGAATCAAGGTTCGAATCCCCGTTGGGAGAAGTGTCCACATTTAGTGTCCGACAGTGCCTCGAATAGAATTGTCTTTAATAAGAAGATACCTATACTGTAGCAAAAAAAAAAAAAGAACAGGATCTTCTTTGCTTCTCACAAACAAAATACTCTTCCCGTTCATTTCAAGCACAGCCATAAAGCAGGGAAGACCTACTGTGTTCTATTTATTTGGTTATATGGCTTGTCGCCGCCTCAGATATTCAGTGACAGTGATAGCCAGTGGATCAGTTACATATTGATTCTGATTTGGTGGAGCGCAGCTAAGACAGAATGGAAAAGCACAAATTTGTTTATGAATGAATTCATGCGAAATTAATTAGTACATAAAATTCATTGCCATACACACAGACACACAGGAAATGGCTTCTTCAACTCTTGAGAAAAACAACTTATTTGCTATCGGAAACCAATGGACATAATGAAAAAACTTCTGGCACAGTAATGACATAACTTAATATTTGTTAACCCTCCTGCAGATCTTCCTTATCTCTCCTCTTGAACCTGTCAAAGGAGAAATGTTTCCCATCTTGACCATGGACTTAGCGAATTGCTCGAAGAAAAGATCATTATTTTCGGCATATTTCTTCACTAACTGTGCGGATACTTGGTTCTCTGTGAAGAGTACTTCATCGGAATTTAACAGACCCTTGTAAGCCAACAAGAGCTTGAAGTAGCTGTTGTCAAATTTTATTGGACTTACGAAGTCCAAGAAAAACAAAATCTGGTCACCACCAGATCTTGGGCACCTGGTCCGCAATTGAGCAGCATAGTACTGGTTAAGTGTGAAGTCTGCCTTTCCATTCCCAGTTTGGTTGTATAGTCTCTGCCTGAAGCTGGTGCACCTGGAGTTTCCAATTGTGTGGCTCCCTGCGACAGTTTCAGAGATAATTTACTCACCCAAAACGCATACATAGCCATGAAAGTTTCAGGAATTGAGCAGAAGACAAAATTTACATACAATTCTTGTGTTTGGTATTCTCCAGTGAAAAAACATCATGATTGCATATTTGTTTACACCTCTTCATGATATAACCGGCGTTTTTTGTTTTTATTCCCCCCCCCCCCCAAAAAAAAAAAAAAAAGCTCCATAGATCATATGTTCACCACGAAACCAATTGCGAACATTACAGAAGCTGATTGAGTATAGTCTTTGAGTAGATGTCAGGGATTATAATCCAGATAACGAGGAGAAAAAAAAAAAAAACAGGAACGAAGGACATATTCGTATGACAGACGAGTCGCAGGAATTTACCCGACAGAGCAACTAGGTCAACTATGTCAAGACCCTGAAGCTTGAATTTGGTTAGGATGGTCTGAAATGTGTTGTTTGGAGCAGGAATGTTGTTGTTGGAGCCACTCAAGCTTGCACCAATAGAGTCCCTTCTCCCCAAAGGTACCTTCCAGCTTGGTCCACCAGTCTGCACTCAAAACATTCATAGCAAATCAACCAGGGTTGCTAACAGAAGTACTAATGGCGAAAGAGTAAGAAAGGGTACAAAACAGAAGGAAAAACTTACGAGAACAGTTGAATCTCTGGCAGCTAAAGCCAAAATATCAGCACAAGATACCGTGTGAGGGCATTCTTTCTCTAGTGCTGATTTGATTTCATCGATAACTTCGAATCCTCTGGCTGAATTACGGTTGGGATTTGATCTCTTCTCACTGATGATAGTTCCACTGCTATCTAGCAACACTGATGCATCACAGCCCTGCAATATCAACTTAAAGTCACTTACTTAAACAGTAGTGATCCTATAGAACACTTAGATGACCAATGAATTACGAAAACTCCGTTGCTGGAGGGAAAGAATGAAGACCTTGACAAAACAATCATGGAAATGGAGCCTCAGAAGTGAAGCAGCCATACGAGGATCCTTTTGAACAGCTTTAGCAACGACTGATTTGACAATCTCTTGAGCTCTTGGACATGAATAGTCATAAAACTGAGGGTAGAGGTAACCCCCTACTTTTTGGCTGCAGAGGCAAAAGGGAGCAAAGGCTAATAGAGAAACAAGCAGAAGAAAGTTGACAGAATTGGCCATTTTTGTTTCTTCCAAAGGCTGCCTTGAAGAACAGCACTTCGCTAAATATTGATTGAAGTAATGTTTTCAGACCGGATTGGATGTGCACTGTGGTCAGGGAATGGTATTTATAGAGGAGAACTGTCACGAAAAGTATCGCATGATAGAGGAGGACAATGGAAAAGGTGAATGGAAACAAAAAAAGTTGGAGTTGGTAGCTAACTGGCCTTGGAAATTCATTTGCAATAAAGAAAAATTCGGAGTTGGTATTGATGATTTCATCTTAATATGCTTAATAAATTAAGTTAAAGAACAGTTCAAAGGAAATATAGATGAAAGCTGTAAGTTTAAGCTGAACATATAGCAGCAAAGTCGAAGTCTAGCATAAAGCAGATAGGCTTAACATAGAATAAGCAGCTAAAAAACATGGTCACAGGTCACCCCAGCATCATCATCCTATTCTTGGATTTGAAGTAATGAACATACGAAAATATTTTACTGGTCTCTACTTTAATAGTTGTATCAATTGTGATCAACTGCATGCCTACTGGAATTATTATTAGCACATCTTTTACTGGCCTCTTCTTTAAGACTCGTATCAATTCCTTTCTTTTTCATTTCTTAATCGCCATGTTTCGCTTTCCATTGGACATAAAATGATTAAACCCAGAATAGGTCCTCCATAGTTTCATAGGTTTTTAAAAAAAAAAAAATCAAAGAGAGGAAGATGGAATATGAAGCTAAATATTATAGTTCTGACTGTTGTAGTAAGTCCTACATATGCCCTGCGCATATTTTTCTCCATATTTTTGTCAAGTTATGCAAGAAATTTGAAAACAAAAGAACTCAATAAAGCTTGCGTTAGATTTTGATTATACCTGCATCTCAACAAATAAAGTCAACCACTATTTAGCATCCAAATTGCCAACGGACTGGTTCTTAAATAGACAAGTTTAAATTGAAATATTCAAAACTTCGAAACTGGTAGAAAATCATTTATGATTTGGTGATTTGGTTGTGTAAAGAAAGTTATTAGAGACGCTAATGAAAACGGGCAATCTTAGGCCAGAAAAAAGGGCAAAATTTGATCATAGAGGGAAACTGAAAATGACACTTGTGGATATCATTAATCGAGATTTCTTGGTTAATGGCTTATTACAAGAGTTAGCTTGAGATATAATACAATAGCATTATGTGATTCATAGAGTTTATCTCGTTCAATAGGATAAAGTTTTCTGTTGTTGCATTTAAAATTTGAACAGATAAAAAATGTGTTGGAATAGTACTTTTCTGACTATTACAATGATGGGAGTATGAGAGGAAGAGTGACAAAAAACTTTTAGAAATAAATACATTAAGATTTTTTTTAATGCATTACAAGTATAATCATGGAATTATATTAATTGTGATTCCAGACTTTGAGATCACAAATTGTTGTAACGGTATTCTTGAATAATTAATTTGTAAGAAAATCTTTATTTTTAATTTTCCCCATCCAAAATAGACAAGGAGTTGCAATGTATTAAACTTTTTTTTTTTTGAGTGATGAGGACGTAGAATCATAGCACAAGATCATGGAGGCAAAGTTGTTCGAGAGACTAATTCACGTTGAATCTGTCTTTATATCAACACTACCTAATCTAAATCACTCACTCAAAAACAAGAGGCCATTTGAGCTTCCAGAAAGCACGGTGGTCAACCTGCAGGTATTGTTCTCCAAGCTAAGAAAGCCAGCTACAAGGTCAATGTTTAATCTCTCGTAAAGGAATATATATAAAGAGGACGGAATATCTTTTTGACCTTATCACCTCTCTTTAATTAACATAATCAAGGTAGATAATGATGATTTTGGTGTTCATTATTTTAGTTGAGGCGTGGCTCTGATGATGTGTGAATAAATAATCTCTAAATGGGAACGACATCTTTGACCTCAAAAAGTGTAAGAATCTTAATGAAAATTATGAGGTGGGGCATGTGTTCCTGCGCGTCCAGGTTTAGCATAAAGTGCAGCAGAGTGCCAAAACAAAGTATTACAGAGAATGTTAGGTTAAGTGTCGATGGTGCAACGTGATGCAAGAATGGTAAGAGTTGGATACCTAATCCATCCAATCAGCTACATATGTTTACATGAGCTTTTCTTCAATCATAGCATTTTATATATCTTATCACCGTCTAGGCGTCTAGCAGTACATGTTTAGCTTTTCTTGCCCTT